ATATATACTCGTTAACTTCAGCTATTGTTAGTATAACGCATAGTAGAATTTTCCTCAAACTACTTCCTATACAACGTAACTCTCATTAATAGTAATTGATTCTACACAGCAATGTACAGCGTTTCCGACTGCCTCCCGACACATAATGAGGTTATATTTAGCTTAGCTAATTATAATAATTATAATTATAAAATTAATAATAATTACAATTAATATTTTAGTTCCCGGGTAATAGTATGAGTCATTCACGCCACAGCGCATGTGCAGTCACATAACGAACTATTGAATTGAAAAGCATACCGGGTTTTCAATGTGTCTGTGATATAGCTTCTATAGCACTATGCACTAGCACAACGTTTTATACGTCTTATCAAGAGCGTATTAAGAAGGTGCTTTCTTAATACGCTCTTGGTCTTATGTGTCCATGTCCACTGCATGATGCAAAGATACGTATAATTATAAATAAATAAATATATATTATATATTATTATATATATATATGATATATATATATATATATATTAGTATAGTGTGTGTGTGTGTGTGTGTGTGTGTGTGTGTGTGTGTGGGTGTGTGTGTGTGTGCACTTTAGATTGTACGCCGGTGATGTATATAGTATAATATAAGTTTTGGATTATAGGCTCCGTTTTTGCATCTTGAAATTGTGATCGCGTCGCCATGTATTTTTAATATCTTCAGAAGATTATTGTTCTTTACACAGATTAAGTTTTACTGATGGAATCGTGAGCTATGTGAAGTAAGTACATGTGATAGATACGTTAAGGGCGGTAGTGGTATAAAGAAACTCAGTGGCTACGCGTCCGTCCACATTACAAAGCTCAGCACAGATTCCAGAATCCACGTCACGATATAGGCCACGCCCCCTCAAATCGGTTGATTTACTGGATTTACTATTGCCTTCGAAAGTTACAAAAAAAACATTTTTGTATAAAGGTAAGGTAACGGGTTATGAATATTACTGTAAAAAATGATTGTTTATTGTTTTTTTTTCTGAAAAAATATAGTTGGCGTTCACATAAAAATCATATAACGGACGCGTAGCCGGGATCGTGCCTCAACCTTGAGAGAAGCCGACGAGAGAAGGGGAGGACATGTTAGGAGAGCAGGGGAACAAGAGTATGAAACGGGCTGGGCCGGGAAAGGACGTATATGTTGGGAGGAAATGTGAGGAATGAGAAGGTGTAAGTGGAACGCATAGACGTGTTGGGAATATGCATGCGTACATAGCGGACGTATATGCAGGTGGAATCGAGTGGTATCCAATAGTTTATTACTTATACATAAGTATTAGACTCGCAGACAATAATACATATTTTACATGTATGCCTGAAATACGTTGCCTGCGGTATTGCAATGACACGTGTAATCGCCAGTGAATAATTCAAATTCTCATCGGAAACCCTCATGCATCAATGTGAATTTTTGTTATAAGATGTAGACCTAAGGATTTTACTGCATACCAACTGCTACTTACTGGTATAACAATCGGTCTATACCACAACTATTTGTTTACCAGATAACCTAATTTAATTTTATAATAATTACACATTCAACGCCTGCCGAAATTGAACGGCGCCATGACACCCGCGACCTAGCTGCTGCAACGCCTAAAAAAGTTGCGATTTTGCCAATGTTATTTAGCAACGTTAGCAGAACCGAGGCTAAATCACCAAAGTGCGTGAATTATATTCATAACTTAAAATTTATGCTATTATAACGAACCAGATGTTCATTTTAGGACAAATTTATCCATAATATATCTGAAACTCATATGTCGTTTATATATATGATATTACAAATCCTTTGGCTTTTAAATTAATAAATAAGAACACCCTCGGTCTGTAGCCTTTGGCGTGAAAGTGTTTTAGCGCATCTATCAAGATCGTGCCTTTGAGTGGCGTGCAAACCGTCGTTGTAATCAAACCTGTAGTTCGTTAAGTTTTTAAACATTTTTTTATAATTATTTATAGCCGATTGAACCATGCAAAGCTTTATGTAGCGTAATTTTAACACTAAATTAACTGAAAATAAAACCATTAGAACTAGAGTAAACGATCCCTTTAAATTTCCTTTGGAATGAGAGCTGCTGTCCTTTAACTTGTCTGTGGAAAATACGTTATCTCAGGTTAAGCGTTTGTAAATAGTGCTGTTTACTGTTTGTTTCCTTACTTACCGCCAATGGCTAAATCTCTCTCCCTCCCCTCTCCTATCTCTCCGTTCTCTCTCTCTCTCTCTCTCTCTCTCTTTCTCTCTCTCTCTCCTTGTTCAACTCATGTCGTCCTGCTGTAAAACCTGCATTTTACCTATTGCGGACATCTGTACATTATATATTATATGATATATATATATAATATATATATATACACATATATGTATAAATATATATGTATATGTATATGTATAATGTCATGAGCGTAAGTATAATTATAAAGAAGCTTAATACGCTCTTGATAATGTATATTAGTACACACATACATATACACACACACAGAAAATATTTATATATATACTACTATTATAATTATTTATATTTATAACCTGTGTGTGTTATCGAGTTTCTACGTTACGGTAATTTTTATAGAAATATACGTGGCAATAAAATTGGCTATTGTCGTCTGTTGCCTAAAATAGCGCGTTCTTTGTTGTTGATGATACATTCATCCGCGCATGAATGCGGAATTAAGCGCGTTCAACGAAGAACTAAATAATGTAGAAAATTCGTTAGACAGCGTTCTGCTCTTCGATGTATCCTTTCCCCGCCTGCGCAATTTCTGTAAAAATGCCAAAGGTAAAGTCGCGGCGAAGGAAGAAAAAACAGGAGAGCATTCCTTATTGACGCTTCGTTGTCTCCATCGCAGCACATTATATGCAGGCGGTTGAATTCGTTATCGTCATCAGAGAATTATTTTTGTCATAGTATAAAGTATATACAGCATATATAATTGATGTACGTGTCTTTAGGTTCAAACGATGGGACGGGTCGCATGTGAAACATTTATTTTGCTGAAAATGGCGTCGGCCTACAAGTTAAACACGAGCGTATACGCGAACACACCTACGTCACAAACATCGTCCAGCGAATTCAACGATATGTAATCTTCATATAAATTCCGCAGGGTCGGAATATGATTATGCATACTAAACTCTCTATCTAGCATTTACGACTAATGTTTCATTCAGGGTTTTCATAGGATTTAGGGTTAATGCTAAATATTGCATTTTTGTCTATTGCATTAGTCTCTGTATAGTAATTATAAATATAGGAAAACCCAGCATTACGATAACCCGGGATGCAAAAAAATTGCGCGTACGTAATTTATAACTAAACGATCATTCACCTCGCGATACGAAATAAAAATTCGTTGTCACAATCATAATCTTTCAAAACAATCCGTAGATCTTTCTACTGAAACACGTTGAGTGTCCAAGCGATGCACTGTAAAATTATTGTAGGGATATGCAGCCAGTTGCTAAGATAACGGGCGGATCATGTTTGATACGTGTAGCGTATAAGTTTGATCTACATGTACACAAATTTGCGTGTGCCTGCAATAAGCCCCCTTTATCTGTATATTCCATATACGGTTTACTTATTTCAGGACATCAGGTGCCACGGGGAGCGATTTCAATCATTATTCTTTCATCGATTTAAAATTTCCCAGATGTGTCACGCATTCGTATAATAGTAAATTTATTTTCTTCCATCATCAAGTAAACAGTCGTTAGCCATGTGAACATTCCTACACTTCGCAAATGATTACATCATTGGTCACGGCAAGTGCAGCAAAACGTACAAATGCATACTAGAGATGGCGCTTCAGTCTAATGGTTAGTGAGACACCGTTCATATAGATCATAATTATATAGATGCTTCATATAATATATTCGAATATTTGAGGCTGCTCTTGTTATTCGTTAAACATCGCGCGTAAACATAATTATGCTAACTCTCCTTCCGAACACAGAGATTATTTGCACTAGCGCATCTATACATTCAGCGACGCATAAAATCCTCGCATTTCGTCATTCGTGTATACATTTATTATCACGTTTTTGTACCAACTCTAACTCATTGAGCAGCGCGTCTACTGGTCATGCCAAGGCCGTAGGCTGAGCAATTTCCTAGGGGGGGGGGGCAGTGGTAGATCCAGGATTTCAAGAAGGGGTGAGAAACAGGTGGGGGTCCTCCCACAAAAAAAATTTGAAAATGTAGATCGCAGGAGATGGTATTTGAGGCTTTTTTGAGTACATGTACAGCCTTCATTCTGACTACGACAATTCTTTTTCAGTAGAACAATTTATTTTTTACATTTTGCTCCAAAATCTAGGGGGCAGCTGCCCCCTCCCTCCTCACTCCCCCGCAGGCAACGGCCCTGCAGTGTCGCAACAGATACGAGCTCTGTCTGATCGCGAGAGGGAAGATCTGCGACTCTGCAAAGGTGCACCGCGGAAAGAATGGTGATAAGAACCTTCCTTCGGAAA